TGAAAAACAAAATCAGCTGATTTCTCAAAAACCCCATTTTTTCCCGAACTATCTTTTTGTTAGCATGGAACCCATATTCATTTGTAAAGGAAAAAATTTATTGTATAATCATTCATCAGCAACAAGTCAAAGGATTATTTAACAAATTAGATCTTAAAACACATGATAATATGTCAATTAATACTAAAAAAGCTAAAATTCAACTCACTAATGGTCCAATTGATAAGATAAATATAGAGAATAATTTAAATGAAATCAGAGCTCAACAAAAGAGACAAAAGTTAAATGTTTTACAAGAAAATATTCAACAACATTATGGTCAAAATTATGCAAATTCATTATATTCCAATTTATTTCAAAACTAATAATGAACATTATATTTTCTAAATAAAATTGCAAATAATATGATTTTTTGCCAATTTTTATTTTTTCTAGTCATCACAGTAATATTGTGAATATTTTTGGAAACTCTAAGCTACAAAACAATACAAATTTTATTTTTAATAAATATGGTTTGTAGAGTTATTTAGACCAATCTAGTAATTTATATAAAATAATAATTTCAATAACTTTTTGTTTTGATACTTTGGGTGTTTACAAAGATAATTTAGTCTAAATGAAAAAGAAAGTTAAACTTATTTTTTTTTTCATGAATGAAAAACATAAATCTTTATTTATTAAAATTACACACAAATATTTTCAAAATCTATCTAGTCCACGAATTTTTTAGCCACGGTCATGAAAATAGTATTGAATGAAAGCTTAGAACACATACTCATTCACTTTATCAGCTTAGTTTTACTATGCTTGATTATAAAAACTATATTAAAAAATGATTTAAAATAAAATAATAAAACAAAAATGAAAAATATTTTTTACAAACAAAAAAAAAAGGTAAGCCAATATTTTTAAAATATAGGCCATAAACTACTCTCATAGCAATTTTCAACAATAGTTTATTTGATAATTATGGAGGAGATGGAATTCGAAATTCGTTAATTTTTATTTATTAAATTTTTTGTAGGATCTGCAAAAAAAATCTCTACATATTAATTTTTATATGGTACCATATATAATTTTGATCTACATATTTGACCAACCACCCCAGTGTCTCATCGAACCACCCAATGTCATTATTTTGAAACCTGGTGAGGATCATAATAATACTATGAATATACATGCGGCAGCAAGAATGTATTATGATGACATTGGTTTAGATAGTACTGGCCATTTAGATCTTGCAAGTGATGAGTCCATCTTTAGGAAGCTTAATAAGTTAAATGAATCAGAGACAGAAATTCGCCTCTTATTAGGTGCTTGGCACACATCAAAGGCAATGTGTGGTACTCTTCTAACAATATTTTCTGGATACGGCATCTATAATTTGGCTGCAAATTTAGGAGTTAGCTATTTGGAAAAATGGGAGAAAGTAGTTGATTATTCAGCTACCTGCCGAGTAATTGAACATATTTGGATTGGTGTAGGCGTTTCACTCCATTTATATGCCAGAAAAAAAAACATATCAATGAAGGATATTTTAGATTGTGACTATTATCTTCCAAAAATATGGTATTTGTTTTTTTTGTGGGCGGGCCTTTGGCTTGGTCACAAAACGGGAATCCGTTATGGAAATCATGATCTTCAGTTCCAAAATCTTTGTGCATTTGTACCACTTTTTCCGATTGCTGGTAAAAGCAATTATTCACAATCTGTTACACAATACATATACAATGTTCAAAAGGATTCTAATTTGCAAGGCATTCTTCAATATGTTTCTTCTGTTAATCTAACTTCGCCAGGTCATTATTTCGCCTTCGACGAAGCACTTGAGCGATTTGGTGTTATGTATATAAAACAAAATATTGGTTCAGCAATTTACTCTACAGACGATTTAGACTTGCAAATCAAATCTATCCAAGTGGAATGTGATCATTTAGATCTCTTACTTAGTGAATTTGTTGGTGATAAAATTAAAACTCCTACTAAACGTAACATAAAATCCCAAAAGGATGCGCTATGGAAATTAATCACAGATTTGGAAAAAGCTTTTGAACATTCCAATAAATCAATATTGACTCCTGAGGTTCCTGAACTTTTCAAAGGTGCCATAGAATGTTCAAATCAAGGGTTTCAAAAATTATACAATAGTTATGATATTGGTATAAACAGATCAAATGATATTTTCAAACAAGACATTGAGAGGTCTGTTGTCCGGGATACAACTGGTCAGCATTCAAAAAATATTACCACAAACACAATCACACAACAAAAAAAACAATCACAGCAAAAAAAATTATTGCAACAAATAAAATCACAAAAAAAAGGTAAAAATAATAATGAATGTGAGTATAAAGATGAGTACAAAAAATATACTGGAGAGTGTAAAACGCAATGATGGATAAAACATCATTACTTTGCTTGTATGTAGATATTAATATATAATAAATACATGATAAATAATATTTTTGCAATATATATGATTTTCATAATGTGTTGGGTTTTTATGTACTACTATATAAATCAATAAAATCTTCACAAACTTATTAATTAAAAGAATCGGAAATGCTTAAATTTAATGTATTATATTCACTTATTACAAAACTGACAAATACAAAGCCATAATTATTTAATAATACTTAGAATGAATAACAATAACAAATATACACACATGTATGGAAACAATGGATTATATATCTATATAAATAGATTTATTTATTTTGTATTGAATACATTTTTTTGTGAACCAAGCTTGTGTGGGATTTTATAGATGACCATCACTATGTAATTTATTATCATTTTTTTTGTAACAAACATTTTTTAGATAGTATGTTCTAAGTTTTGATATCATAAATAACAAAAATTCACAGCTAATTTTAAAGGTTCTTTTATTTTAAACTCAAGTTGACATTTTGAAGAAAATTGCTTAGTAACATATATAAAGCAAAATTTTTTAGTGGATATATATATTAAAATATTGATAAAGAAAATATTTTATTATTATAAATTACTTTTTTTCGACTTTTTTGTGGCTTGTTTTATTAATTATTATTATCGAAGTTAGCATAATGGACACTCATTTTGTGCAACAGTCATTTGTATAATAGTCAGGCGGTTACACAGAGCCCGTTGCTTCTGAAACTTCACTAGAATATAACTGTAGCCTCTCTAAGTCCAGATCATCAGCAAGAAAGTCATAAGGAAGTTGGCATTTCTTATGTCATGTTTACAAATAATTATTATTGCAAAACTCATGAATTAACATTAAAGTTATAGAGTAAGTAATTCATAATGACATTCTTCTTTTTTATGATCCTTCAAATACGAATAATATATTGTAACTGCAAAGGATGATGATAGATATGAAGTAAGGTTGACAAATGTATTTATGTTTACAATAATAAATGTAAGCGCGTTCGAATTATTAATAATTGAGCGTGATACTGAATTCTTAATTTGGTAATGATTACCCCAGATCATGATCGTCGGCCGTTATAAAACATGAGAGCCAGGCCGTTATACATTATAAGGTTTTTATATAGTAAAAATTTGGGTTCTGATTCCCAATGCGTTATAGAATGGAGGCCGTTATAGAAAGGGCCGTTATAGAGAGTGTGAACTGTATATTCTGTACCACCAATTATCCTGCAAAAATTTTCAACACTCAATTAACCGGATTATTGGTGAAATTTGTTTGTTCAATAAAAATTGGAACCATAAATAGCAGTTAACTTTCCTCATATAAAATTCATTATAATTATAATGTGCAACATCTAATATAACAAGATCCATTATAACAAGAAGTTGTCATATAAACTTGAACTCCATTATTGAAGTAAAGTGAAACTATATCATTAAAGCTTTCTAATTAATATTTTTTTATGCTGAAGGGAGCTTTCCAAGTAAAAAATCACAGCTATTCAAAATGTGAATACACTTTCACCTCAAAGCTTTCAATTTTACTTTCAATATCCTAAAGGCTAGGGTTGTTTGTTGATGAAGTTCAAAGAATATAGCAATAAACATATAATAAATTTCAGGTTATTTTCCATTTTATTAATAAACACCTCAATTTTTTTAAAAAAGTACAAAAATATATTATGAAGAATCTATGTCTCAAATTTGGTGGGAATAATTGCACAAAATCATGGATGACTTGGCTTTGACTTGACTTAGGTAAATTTTGAACATATACTTTGAATTTATTTAAACCATATCTGAGCTCTCGGGTTTCTTAAAATACCATGTTATTTTAGCTGCTTTACAAGCCCACTAAAAATAATCAATAATTTAAATTATAAAGTTATCAGAAAATGTAAACCTTCTGTGCCTCAATAATTTTTTCCTTTGTCACTTTTGACCTGTGATAGTTTATTAACCTGTCATTCATTCATCTTATTAATAAAAGTATAAAGAAAGGATTTTTAGTTTTCTAAAACAAAAAAAAAACCAATACTCACATATTTGAAAACTTGTTGTATTTATATTTTCCCTTTTCCCTTAAGATTTTCATGATAATAAAATTCTGTCATTACAAACAGAAATCAATTATTTTTTTAAACAGAAAAATTGAACTAAATTGTCATCAGAAAATTCCTTCATATCTAATATTTTTGATAATAAAATAGGATCATTTTTCATCGTGTCCATATTATTTTTTTGTATGTCTAAAATTAGACACCCCGATTTCCAACGATAATCTAAAATAATGACCCCCAAAAAAATTTTTATAAAAAAAGTAAAATTATAATTCAAAAAATAATAATGGGTAGAAATCTAACCGATATTAATAATAAAAATAACAACAATGCTGATACTAGCAGCAGTAGTTCAAGCGATGAATCATCTGAAAATGACATTGATTCAAAAATAAAAAAGTCAGGCTATAAAAAAAGAATAACGAAAGAGTCTAGCAGCAGTGATGAAGAAAGTTCAAGCGATGAGTCTTCTGATTCTGATTCAAAAAAAAAAATTTCAGGTAAGAAAAGAATTGGCGGAACTAATGAATCTACTACCAGTAGTGACGAAGAAAGTTCATCAGAAAGTGGATCCGACTCTGATTCAGAAACAAAAAAAAAGGTTGCTATCAGTAGTGACGAAGAAAATTCATCAGAAAGTGGTTCCGACTCTGATTCAAAAATAAAAAAAGAAGTTAGTAGCAGTAATGACGAAGAAAGCTCATTAGAAAGTGATTCTGACTCTGATTCAAAAATAAAAAAAGAAGTTAATAGCAATAGTGAAGATGAAAGTTTGGACGATGATTCATCAGAAAGTGATTCTGATTCGATAAAAGAATCACCTAGGAAAATAACTGGTGTAACTAAAGCCATAACAAAGGAACCTAACAGTAGTAGTGATGAAGAAAGTTCAAGTGATGATTCGTCAGAAAATGATTCTGATTCAAAAAGTAATTTA